CCGAGAAGCCGACCTCGCTTTTTGGGAATCCGAGAACAGAGGCTGCCGGCCCTGGTCAGCTTCCGGCTGATGGGCTGTTCTGTCTTCATGACTGGAGCGCTGCAGGTTGGTCGCGTCTTGGCCTGAGTTATTTAATCAGCAGAGTAAAGCATGAAGTTGGATATTGTTTGTTAACAGTAATCAGTGTGTTCCGTCTCCATTTCTGCTGTTCCCTCTTCCAGTTCATTCCTATGCCGGTGCTGTACGGTGTTTTCCTCTACATGGGGGCGTCGTCATTAAAAGGCATCCAGGTAACACACGATCTAAACGAATTACACTCTATGTTCGACGCTGTTTGAACCAAAACACTATCTAAACGAATTACACTCTATGTTCGAACCAAAACAGCATATATTACATTATAACAATATTATAATATTTTATATTTAATATCTGGTCTATTAAGATAAGATTACAAACTGTACTTTTTAAGAGTCAACTTTGAGAGAATTTGGAAGTTTACTGAGGGGAGAAGGTTAAATTCAGATGTGAAACGATAGAAAAAAGATGGAGACCCCAGAGAATGGTCACAGACTTAGTGAAAAAGAACATGAAGGAGCCTGGAGGCAACATCTGACGAGGGCAGAAGAAGTCGTCTGTTCTCCAGCCAATTCCAACTTGTTAAAAATCTCTCCTGATCCCATTAACGCTTTCATTATTAATTGCGTTCTGACAGATAAACGAAATGAATTTGACTTTGTTTCCATCTCCTGTAGCTGGTTTAAATGAACTTCCTCTCTCTCCCTCCCTCCTCTGTTCCACTTGTCTTCTTCTTGAACTCCCCTCAGTTCTTCGACCGTCTGAAGCTCTTCGGTATGCCAGCGAAGCACCAACCAGACTTCACCTACCTGCGACATGTTCCTCTCAGAAAGGTCCATCTGTTCACTCTGACCCAGCTCACCTGCCTGGTGCTGCTGTGGGTCATCAAAACTTCACCTGCGGCCATCGTCTTTCCCATGATGGTGAGCTGTGACACTTTACTCTGTTCCTTAGGTTTTCCTTCCTTTCAAATTAAACTTTTTCTCTTTTGTCTGCGTCGTCGTCAGGTGCTGGCTCTTGTTTTTGTCCGTAAACTTTTGGACCTTTGCTTCTCTAAACGAGAGCTGAATTACCTGGATGATTTAATGCCTGAGTGGAAGAAAATAAAACTGGATGACGCCTCGAAGAAGATGGAAGAGGTATCACCTTTTTATTTTTCTATTATGTAAAGATCAACAAATGATTGATTTGATTTGTTTTTTACATTTATTCACATGAATATAAATCTTTTTAGGAATCAGAGGTGATGCTCAGTGAAAAGAAAGAAGATAAAAGCAGTGTTGAAATTCAGATGGAGAGCAAAAAGACCGTTCAGACCACAAAAGCACACGACCTACGGTAAGAACACACACCACAGACTGGACACCGTCTGACTGGGGGGTCGGGGGGTAGACGTCTTCACTCCTCCTGTCCACCTACAGTAACTACGTGGTTTAATGTGTGTGTAGGCCTGTCCTGTACTAACATCCTGAGGGTTCTCCTCTCACCCACCCTCACCCTCCTCCTCCTCCCTCCCTCGCTCCGTCCCTCCCTCCACCATCTGCTCCCTGAACCCCTCTTCTCTCCCTGCTCCCCAGGTGTGACCCCTCTGACATTAATATATCTGATGAAATGTCTAAAACCACTGTGTGGAAATCCCTCAACTCCAATCAGAGAGACCCACGTCCTGTGGCTCCTAAGAAGGCAAGGGTTCATCCTTTTCTCTGTCCTTTACCTCAACATGAAGTGGGAAGATTTTAAAAAAAAAATCAATTTTCACAAATGCAATAAAATAATTTATTTTAAGAGTC